GGGAAACTCGTCCCTGCACCGGGGTTTTCCTCTGCAACAGGAAACTCTCCCGTGCAATGAAGCTGCAACTTGTCGGGGATAATTCTGGTGCCGAAGCACACACAAAATCATGCCTTTGGGTCATGACATAGACATCCATAGGAACTACTTCACAGTTAGGGCGGCTAGGATCTGGAACCAGCTTCCAAGGGAAGTGGTGCTGGCTCCTACCCTGGGGGTCTTTAAGAAGCGGCTTGATGCCAACCTGGCTGGGGTCATTTGAGCCCAGTTTGCCTCCTGCCCAGGCAGGGGGTCGTACTTGAAGATCTACAAGGTCCCTTCCGACCCTACTTCTATGATTCTATGAACAGGAGTGTCACATACAAATAAGCAGTCATCCTTCTGCTTCAGTATGGGCAGATTAGAAAGAATCCAGCAGTGACAAAAATTATTAGAGGCCTGGGAAACAATTTACGAGGAAAGGCTGAAAGAACTAGGATTATTTAGTCTGGAGAAGAGAAGACTAAGGGGGAAGGTAGTGTAGGCAACAGGACTAGGAGCAGTGGTCTCAACTTGCAGCAGGGAAAATTTAGGTTAGATATTAGGACTAACTTTCTCCGTAGCGGGGCTGGTTAAACACTGGGACAGGCAACCCAGAGAGATCTTCATCTTTGGAAATTTTCAAGAGCAGGTTAGGCAGACACTTGAATGGTTTAGTCAGGGATGATCTGGCTCTGAGTGGGATGTAGCCTCCTGAGGTTCCTTCTAGTCCTCCTTTTATATGATTCCATAAGGGCTGAAAGTTGCTGTTTGGGTTACAGCTTTGCCTGCCAACATCATTAAAAATGTTAGCAGTCACTATCACTGGATCTGTCCCAGCACCAGTCTAGTCAGATGCTACACTTTGTGTATATTCTTTGGATTAACCAAAAGGACTTTTTTTATTTTTTTGCACCTCTTATATTTGAAAATAAATGTTACTCTGAGAGAACAGATGAAAGAATGTGGTAATAACCATCTATGCTCCCTTCTCAAGCATCTCCAGTACTGTTTCATTGGCCCTAGTCCATCTAGACATTGTGAACGTCTGCTACAATAGCTCGTATGTTGAATTTGACTGTAGGACATCTCTGCTTAGGTATTTATTTGAATATAAGTATTGCTTTTATAACTTCTTTACTTTTCCACTCCAGATAAACCATACTGCAAACATCTGGGGTAGTATCATTTTACAAGTGTGAGCAAACTTCTTAGGAATAGATGTGAGGTATGATCCAAATATTCAGGGACACTAGACACTTGCTAATTCTCAATTGCCCGACATCCTGTACAGCCAGTTACAGCTGTGCAGAGAGATTGTGGAACACTGTCATCTTGAAACAGTTTATAACTGCTCTGCGCTATTTATGTAAATAAGTCCCTGGAGCTAAGTAATAGAGTCAGACTGTGCCTATAGTAAGACTTGATTCCTGTTCTTGAGGAAACATGTGAAATGCACTCTCCTATAAAACACACTTTTTTTGCTGAAAAAGTAGGTGGCAGTCTAGTACAAAGAGGGAATTTAATGACAAATTCTTGGAGTCCTGTGTTCTTTCACCTCCAAATTTGCTTCTCAGAAGAGAGGGAATGGAAGCCAGTGTTTCAACAACAAATAAAATATCAAGCAAACTTTCAGTTCGTCTCCAAATGTGCCAGACCAATTTTTTTCATAGCTGGTAGTAATTATTATTATAATTTTGTATCTTTCATGGAAGGTCTGATCATAATTCTAAACACACAGTTTTCAGCTATTTCTACAATTAAACTGTATTTTGTAGTTGGATAGTACATGTGCAATAATGGCTCATGGCCTTGCTGTAATATTTATCAATTCTGTCTCTTTTAGTATAAAATTACTTAACACTCTGCATTGTCTAAAATGGAACCTAACAGCATGTGTTATAAAAGCTAATTTCATATGTGATTAGATAGCTGATGGAAACATGGGATAAATGTCTGAATTAGTATGTGTGAGTTTTTGTATGTTTCCTAATTAATTAAAATAGATTATTTAAATGTTGTTTTTATTTTGTTTTGTTTTGTTGTGTTGTTTTGTTTTTTTTAAGATACCGACCGAGCTTTACAGCTGCTGGAAGAATATTGTAAAAAGCTAAAGAAACCAGAAGAGCAACAACTGAAAAAAGCCATTAAAAAGGTGATGGGCATCTTTAAGAGCAGCTTATTTCAGGCATTACTCGGTAGGTACCTGTGTACAATGCTTTATTTTCTTCTCTTATTCAAAGAGATAAATTGGAATTATTTTGGAGGGGAAAAATATTTGCAAATATTTTAAACAAATACTCAAGTTTGGGAAGGAAATATAGCTAAAAATTCTTGAAATGTAGAGCTATACATTTATCATTCCTAAGTGAATATATCTTCTTTTCATAATATGAGTCAGGATTGTTGCATCTGAATAGAACACATTATAATTTTCCATGCCAATGTAAAGGGTAAAATGCTGGACTCACTGAAGCAGGCAGTAAAACTCTTGTTGACTTTTTTAAGACCAGAATTCCACCCAAAATTTTTGTGTGGCTTTTGCATTAATGCAATGTGATACTTTTTTTGCAAAAGAGGTAGCCAAAGGAAAAAAAAATCAAGAAAATAGAGAGGAATGTACATTTGTTAGAATGGTTCTCTTTAACAACATCTTTTCTGTTAGCATATTTCATGTAAGTCTTATATTAAAAAGTTTTAATAGACTAGAGAAAACAATAATATTTTCTTGTCCATTTTATTTGCATCTGTTTACGTGCTCCTTGCAAGTAAAAATAGTTGACTTGAGTACCTGGTATAGTGGTTTTATTATGACATGACTAAAAACTGAAGTACGAGCCAGGACACTTCATTCCGAAGGAATTGCTGCTTGCAGCAGTCCCATAAAGCAAACATGCCAAATGGATGGATGTAGATTTCCCCGGAACTTGGGGATATTGGATCCAGTGTCAGTTTGGCCCACTATTTTTCAATAGATTGATTCATGCCCTCTAAGCCAGTGGTGCTCAACCTTCAGCTTGTAGGCCAGACTCTACCTGTGGGCCTGTGTCATCTGGTCCCCCCATGGGTCTGGAAATTTGGCAGTGGGATAGTGATGACAGGATCCTACCTACAGCGGTAGTGGAATGGTTCCAGCATTGATTGCTGCAGCTCTTAAATTTCTGGACACATGGGGAGCCTTGTGGCCTAAGTGACATGGCCCTGCCATGTGAGATTTGTGCTGGCATGTGAGTCTGCTTTCTAGACATGCAGGACTTGCCTGGCACACAGGGTGCCAGATCTGGTGCATGGGGCCAGGCTGACCAAGCCCATGTACCATCTCTACACTGGATTAGGCCCTCAGAACAATGCTGTGCATGGGATCAGACCCCACGCCACTCATCCAGCCCACAGGGTCAGAAAGGTTGTGCACCACTGCACTGAGCCATAGAAAATTGTCAAGGGAGGATTTGTAATGAACCTGATAAAAGCTGAGGCACTTCATATCAGTGCTCTTCAGTTATTATAGTTGGTGAGGAGGGGTAGGCATTGTTTCAGTACTTTTTCCCCCCCTTACATTTAAGGAGAAAATGCAGTGTTCTGTTTTGTCAATCTATAAACATTTCCACAAATGGACATAATGAATGCTTATGCTGCCCTATGCATCAGCAATGTAATATCTCAGTTCCATTAGAGTGTATGCTTTCATTTTCTAACTTTCTTGTCCTTTTTAATGTATTTATTATGAAAAATATAAATGAAATAAAAAGAATATATCCCAGACATAGTAACAAATTATTCATGTTTGAACTAAAATTTTTGAAATATTTGAAAATTATAACAATATTTGGAATGTAAAATTATTATAACAATTATTTTTGAAATATTGGATATTTGAAATTATTATAACAATTTAAAATATCCACTAGTGGGTCAGTACTGTTGTTCCAGCAATTTGTAATCAAATGAAAGGAGGGATATTTCATAAGGAAAAGCTGGAGTTTTAATTTGTATGACTTCAGTTATCTTTTTCAATTCCTACAGTTCTTGTTGAAGAGCTTTTGGAATGGCAGACCATGTTCACAGTCTATTATTATGGAATTTGCTCTTTAGATGGCCTAGATTCTTGATACAAAAATGACCTCTCATCAGTGGTGCCTAAGTGTGAGATGATGCTATTATATAATCAATAATGAGGATATTACATAACCGGTATTTTTAACTAAAATTACTTCTAGACATCTGTTTTAGCCTCTTTAGTTTTGTGTCTCATTTATCCATGCGTTAGATTACATTCAAATAAACGTTTAATGTGATGCTTACTTTTTCTACAGCAGAAAATCATGTCCGCTATCTTAACATTTCAAAAGTTACTAGTGATTTTGAAAGCTCCAGTTTTGAGACATCTTACAGGGCTTCTTGTTTAGAGAGTGAGTAATTAAATGTGTCCCAAACTCCCCAAAACTCAAGGAACCCAAATGGACCGGTCGCTTTTGAAATTATAGTAAGTAATAGGATTAGTTTCTTGTATGCCTCTTATTCTGATTACCTTCCAAAATGTCTTTAAAACTCATGGATCTTCCCTTGATTAAGCTAATCAGCTAAAAGGACACCTACTTAGAGCCATACTTGGGCACCAAGTTTAGGGTATCCAGTTTCATTATGGAGTGCTTCAGAGTTCCTATATTTTTAATGTGCAGTGTGTTTTATAGACATAAGCTAATGAATCACAAATTGGAAAGAGCATGAAGAAAACTAGGTCATTTTGGAAAGCATATTGCAGGCTTCTTTTTTCATGAAGACTTGTAAATGAATTGAGACTTGTAATATGGAATCTAAAGATTTTAGTGTGTTTGTTTAAAAAAAAAAAAAAGGATTATTAGTGATTGGCCTTTAAAGTTATAGTTCTGAATCAGAAACATCCCCATTCTCAGCAGGCTGCCCTTTTTGATAAACTTCTTATTGGAGTTATTATGTTAAGTTAGCAGTTGCTAAGGGACATCTTTTCAGAAAGATACGAAGTTAACATCTCAAGAGTCTTGTTAGACTCAAGTAATCCAAACAGTTCTTTGAAAACATATCCCTAATCCTCTGAGAGAGAGAGAAAAAAAAAACCCTCTTAAAGAAGAGGTTGGAGATCATGGAAAGGATGGAGAAGGACTTCTATTTAGAAGTTGTCAGTTTTTAAAATGAGCTCCACATTTTTCTCAATAAAGATTGCATTCAGTAGTTCACTTTGTTGGACTAGTAGAAGAGTTTTGGGTGTTTTTTTTTGACTGATTGGTTTGCTGGTCGGGTTTTTTGTCTTTCCTAGTCTGTTGAGGTTTTCACAGCTAGAATATCTGTAAAATATAGTGTTACTATGTAAAGGGTAGCTAACACTGGTGGCATTTCCATTTGACTGTCCCCATGACAAGGCAACATTAGAAGAGAAACTATATTGGTGGGGAAAAAAGAACAAACTATGAGATGGAAGAAGGATAAAAAATAATAATTATACAGATTACAGAAATAAAGTGACAAAGATGTAAACACAGGGAGATGGGGAAAACTGAGTATAGTCCTTTATTAGCATGCTGAATTTTTATTAATTTTTCTGTGGATGCTGAAGTCATAGGAGGCAATAACAGTTTAATAGAAGTTAGTATGTGAAGATGTTGTAAGTTTTAAACTGAGTTATTAAGATTGAGGAAAATATATAAACTCAGTCATTAGTAGGATTCTAGTATTTTTATCAAGGGATAGCCCCTCTCCTGACATTGCTCCATTGTCTTCAGGTACAAGATAACAAAAGCATAACAGTGAAGTGGTCAGTATGATGATCTAGTACACTGAGTGTGACAGTCTTCCCTTGCCATTATTCATCTTGGCCTGGCTTAATCTACAGACTCAAGTTACTTTACTTAAGTTTTAACTTTTTTTTCCAAGCCTCTAAAGTCTTAGCTATTTCATGTACCTGCTTGTACTCTTTTCAGCTGTTTCCACACCTCCCTCCCTCTGCACAAGTCCATACAGATATCAGAGGTAGGTAGGCTTTTTACCCCTTCCTCCAGCCCCTCTATTTTAGCCTCTAGGAACATTTAGACTTTTCCCTCTCTGTCCAGTATCTCTGCTCGTTGATCCCACCACTTTTCCCCCTAAAAGCAGCTTAAAGGGTATGGAAGAGTGAGCAGCATAGGAATTCCTGAGCCTGTAATGGCATGACCACTGTTGCTTCTGGGAGAATAGTGATGGCTCATGGAGACCATGTGTCCTCAAAAATTATGGCTCCTTGGGGGTTGGGAGACAGAGACATGCTTTGTTAAACTCCTTTCTTACCTGCCTTGCAGAAGGTAGACCAGGATGACACCTTAGTTACTAACTGGTTCAGAAGGGCATGAACTTTCACGGCCAACAACCTACTTGGTGAGCATTGAAACACATATTATTATAGCCTCCACCTTTAGCTGTAGTAGAGCTTCAAAGAGCTATGTATAGATTTTATCTATCTTTAGAAAGACAAAAGTTCAAAACTTTAATGTGCTTTTGCAGAAGAGGCACATATTTGATACATACTGTATCCAGATAGAGTATCTTATCTCTACCTTCTTGTCTTGATCAGCTGTGGATTTAAGTCCTTCAGTGCATAAATACTGTATCTAATCACCTGATATCAAAGAACTGTTTATGAATATTTATCTTCGGTTTTCTTTATTATATACCTTAATTAGTTTTCATGATGTCCTACATATACTTTAGTACAATTTGTTTCTAAAAACCTCTGCCATACACTTGTCTGTGCTTCATTTAATTAAGAAAAGTGCATGGTTTTACAGCTTAGAATGGAAAAGGCTGTCCTGGTCAACTAGAATAAATGAAAGAGGTTTATGAGTGTGTTTTTTGTGGATTCATCTCTCTAAAACATCATTTTGTTTTTAGCAGGATTTAAACTGCCACAAATAGCTGTAATCATCTTATGCAGTATTAGGTAAAAACTAATCTCTATAGATTTTTTCTAAAATTTGGATAAACCCAGCTTCTAGAGGATGACACATTTCCTGGGGATTTTTAAACCATGTCTTATCTTTTTGCTCATGATTGCCTTACTTTTCCTTCATTTTATATTGGAGTGTTTTGGCAATATTTTCAGCTAAAGTCAGCATGTTCTTTATTTCTATTAAATGGTTTTATACAATGAAATAGACATTATAAAACTCTCTCTCTCAAAAGCTGCTGTTGT